AAAAAAAAAATACCTAATAGAGTTAAATGCAAAATACCCTTATGGAGACTGATCCTGGTTATTTGGGGGCTTTTGCCTGGAAGCCAGAATCCTTTTGGAATTGGTTAGGACTCCCCAGGATCCTCCACTTCTGGGTTTTCTGTAGTCATAGATCCCCCTCCAACAGGCATTTTGACCCTCCAAGCGCAGACTGTGCTACAGGCCAGCAGCCCTTTTTTCTAGAAAGAACCTAGATGTTGAATCTAGATTTTTTAAACCAGTCACTAAGCAAAATATCAGCAAAAATCTAGACTAACAGGTTCTGAACACCCCGAAACTATTTCCAGCATTTTCCTGGTTTTGCACTTGAGGTAGGATTATACAGTAATAATCATAATAATGGTTACCAGAGAGTTGCCCATATTTAATACTCTGAGCACTGTTTTAAGCATTTTATCTGTGATGCAGTAATCTAATCCTCTAAACAAGCTTGTGAGGGACGGGGGAAGATCATCATTTCATGAATAAGAGGCACGGGGCTGAGATTTTCATCGCTCGTGAATGCTAGAACTCAAGCCCCCGTGATCTGGGTCTGCTCCAGCTATTCTGTATAACGTGCTATAACGAGACTGCCCTCTAGAATTGTGCTAACCAAGTTAAAATTCTCCCCCTCTTAAATGTGAAGCCACATTTAACACTATGTTTATGCTAATAATTCTGACCCTGAAATATTTTAAGAAGTCTTCTTTGGAATTATCTGGGTCACATCACTTAATGCTCTGAACCTTTCTTCTGTAAAATGAGGGAACGAAACCTTCACCCCTTGAGGGCAGATTACCCTTTTGAAATGGCCAGAAGTCAGTTTGAACCAAGTTAGGAAACAACGTTAGCAGTCGTGACCCTGTGTGGAAGAGTCGCTGAGGGCTGAGGAGCAAATGGTCTTTTAAACAAGTTTTGACAGTTCTTTATTCTCTCTGACTTTTGAGACTTTATTTTCAGGATCTACATAAAATTATGATTCGTCACTACTTTTAAGCCATTTAAACGAGAGCCTTATACCCAAATGTTGGTTTTGTTGAGTGACATGGAAAGCTTTTTAACCTTAGGACCTCAGTTTTGTCCATTAAGTGGGGACCACACTTCTTGTTATTAGAGTATATAACTAATATCCCCTTAGAAGTTTCCTCTTACGACACGGACCTCCATGGTGAAGTTGAGAGGATCAAGGAGAACGGATGTAGATAGCTCGCTCAGTGCGGACAGTGGGCCCCTCCCCCCAGCGCGAATCCAGGGATGCCTGCGACCCATCTGGGCTCTGCGAACCAGCTCCCTGCTTGCTCAGCCTCAGGTCCACTTTTACTTTGGTGTGTTAGTTTTTAGTGACATCGCTCCCCTAACTTCACTTTGACTTCGATTCCCAGAGTTGTCACTTACACATAAATTGAGGCGTGGGCTTTGCCACTAGTTAACCGGCTCTTTTATGAGTTTAATTACTGCTTTGTTCATCATGATAAACGGCTGTCTGCTGTTCACAGTAGTTACAAACTTTTGCTCTCGACAGTAATTCATCCTCTTAATTTTCTTCCCCCTTAATATGTCTCTAATATGTCTGGGACTTAATTGTATGTTTACTTAAGTTAGTTTTCATGTTTCATTATAACTATGACCACGCATGTTTTCTCCAGTGCTGGACAACTACTTCCGCCATAAAGATCAACTTTCAGCTTAAAATAACTGCTCTGTGCCACACCAAGACCTGAGCTACTTCCATGTGAGAAAATACTCTGTTATCTTTGTAACGTCTCAATGTCCTTAAGAATCATACATTTCTCTCCCTGAAAGAGACGTCTTAGA